GGCGGGGAACGTAAAACTCGCCCTCGCCCCGCCCCGTTGCCATGCCTAATGCATCATCTCTTAGATAATAAAAACATGAAAGTTTAGGCAAAAAAATGACATGCATTCTAGATTAGCTCATTAATTTCCATTCATTTTATTTTATTACTTAAGGAAGGATTAGGTAGCAGTATGCATACAAAGTTAAGAAAAATGAATGCTCTAATATATGACAGTATCTATGCTCTAAAGAAAGGCCCGAATCGATTTTGAAAATATTATGGTTAGACCCTTACTTTGATATGTATGTTGAAGCAAGCCTTCTTATAATCTAATATGCACGTTATGCAAAAAAAAAAGCCCACTATGACAAAAATGTTTTATTAATAAAGCTCCAAAGACAAAAGTTTTGATAAAAAAAAAAAAAAAAAAAAAAACAAGTGTAGACTTAGACATTAATAAGACATGTTTCACACAGACATCAACCACTTAAAAATTTCTTTAGATTCTCACTTGATACTGTCAGAATCTATTTAAGCATTCATCGATAAATAAATCAATGAGACTGATATTTATCAATTCTCAACTTTCTATGCATTCTGCATTACATTCATTTAGAACATATCCTTCCTTGTAAAAGAATAAATAAGAATAAAAAGGGAAATTAACCTATGTGTGTTAGTCAGAAGTAATGGGAAGTAAGTCGTTGGTTATCAAACTTGCACTCTAGAGTGGGCCACACTTAATGATTAAACCAGTTACAATTTGAGTGGGTAAAGGGAAAAGAACACCAGAACCTTTAATTATCAAGATGCCAAATCTATCCCCAAACGATAAGATAAACCCATGTCGTGGGATCGTGAAATCCAAGCGGGATAGGATGAATGACTAGGAATGGACAGATCCACACTCTTAACGAGTTGCAAGCTAATAAAAAGAACATGAGGAGGAGGATGAATCCCTCAAACACGTAAGGCAAAGTGAATAGAGCTTTCTTGCAAAGATAATTTCAATAAAGAGAGGAAGCATTATACTTAAGAGCATTGCTTGTTAAGAACCCGCTAGAACAAAAACCCGCAAAGGGCATTCTAGGAAAAAATTAGGGTAAAAAAAACTCGCTAAGACAAAGGTCTTAGGCAAAAAAAAAAGGGCTAAAGAAAAAGCAATGTTATTCGACCTAAAAATAAAAAGGCAACTCGAATGTTCCTCTTGAGAAGTAGGACTCCATGGAAGTGCTACTCCAAGCTCTATTATCTCTTCTACTTATAGATACTTCCTATGAAAGGCTTAAGATATGGGTCGACAACACCTTCATGAGAGAAGAAGCCGAAAGACCTCCCTCTACACGAGATCTTCTGAAGCGCCAAAATTCAAGTAAGTGGAGGACTAGCTCTAGTAGTCAGACCACCTAGGCCTCTCTAAGGGGCAACCTCCTTCTATTTCTCTATGTATGAATCACAAACTCAGGGCATGCCCGGGCCCTCGAGCTACATTAAAAGGGCATGTGTAAATTAAAATATTATTTTAATGCCATACTTTTTATCTACACATGCTTTGTTTATTGCGGGTTATTTAATGAGGCTAAGTACAACAACAATTCCCCTACAACGGATACGCCTTGTTTATTAACCTAAACATTAACCTACCTCGGTCAGTCATTCTTCTAAAAACCATTCCTATAAAAATCCCTTCTAACGAAAATTTTGCAAAAAAAATATATATGTATATATCTCATTCCTTTCTTTCCTCTTGACCTATATGTCATTAAGGTAATTTTGAGAGATACACGGAGTATGCACAATGAACACTCATAGGGAGAAGTTAGAGGTGTCCTAGAACAGAGTCTAGGTACACCGGATCTAAGGGCTAACATATCATATCCGGTACAAGCGAGAGGCCCAAACTACATGAACCTCAGGCTCAAGAAGCAACACTTAGAATGAATTCGACACGAATAAAGGCTAACAACCCACACCAATAATTAATGCACATAAATTAATTTGTTGAAAGTAAAATCAATCTGCATTTAAGCATTAACATAGAGGCATCATTGCATAACATGCATATGGCACAAATGTGTACAAAAGGGTATAAGTTCACTTTCAATAAAAAAAAATTTAAAAGTAAAAAAAAAATCCAATCCATTCTTGTTTTGCATTTTCTTTTGCATTCTTTCATTCTTGTTTGTGTCTACCTACTACGTGTTAGAAGGAATCATCATGCCGAAGCATTCGTAAAAAGCTTAATAGTCGGACAAGGCCTTAAGAGCCAAAATCATGTCAAGAAGCCTAGCCCCAACAAGGTCACTCCCTACAAGTGGTTTCGTATAGCCACCAAGCAAAGAAAGACACATCAACAACAAGATGGAGTAGAACTGGAAAAGGAAGAATAAGCAAGCCTACAAGAACGAAGAGGCCACCATGCTTTATTCTGTCTTCGACCGAGCTATACTCTTCAACTAAATCAAGGATGATTCATGAGAATACCGAGACCAAGAATGACTTCCTCACCAAAGCCAGGAGTGGCTTTCAAAATAATACTTATCAATAAAGACCCAACAAAAACCATCACCATGAAGAAGGGATCTCTCCACCAATAGTGACAGGTAAGGACAATACAAAAAAGGGTAAAGCTTCTACACAATGAAAAAGCCGAAGCTAAGAATATAAAAAATTAGGTCAAAAATTAGGAGATCTTTAACCTGGGGATTCAACTACATGTAAGGGGTAGGGACTTCCCACAGTAATAAACCAATCAGACAAACAAACTCAACAAGACCAAGATCCTCATGGCATACAAGCCAATATGTGCAACACCGATCCATTCCCCGATGAAGACGCTTGGAGAGGCATCATAATACTCACGTATTAAGCATACCATGAAATTCATACTAATCCATTTAATATGCAACAGAAAGTCCGAGACGGGGATACATCAAGCACCTCTTGCCCAGCATCTTTGGGGCAACATCTATCACAAATCAAGCATACCAATGAGGGAACCAACAGATTCCTCAAACTACAATAGAAGGCGGCTTGGAGAGCCCGACACAATAACACTCACCTCCCGATTTGGTACACAACAAAGCTATAAGAGAAAAGTCTAGAGAGATGTTACTAACCTCTCAATCTGGTACAAGACAAAGTCATAAGGGAAAAGTATGGAGAGACAATACTCACCTCCCAATCTAGTACACGACAAAGCCCTAAAGAAAAAGTCTGAAGAGACGACACTCACCTCCCAATTCAGTACACGACAAAGCCGTAAGGGAAAATTATAGAGAGATGGTACTCACCTCTTGATCTGGTTTACGATAAAGCCGTAAAGGAAAATTCTAGAGAGATAGTACGCAATAGAATCACCATAGGTCGGCTGAAGCCTCAATATTAGTTCAACCTGCAGAGGTTGATCTTAGAACATACTCCCTCTTTAGCGAGCTACGAATAAAGGTCACACTATCAAAAAATAAGCAGAAGCAGCATGGAATATCTACATCAAGTCGGAAGCCTAGATGGTATAGTTTACCATAACGAAGCATGCAACTCAACACTCAGTTACTCCAAAGGGCGAGGACACAGGTAAACACCATCTACTCAAGGGAAACGATGTGGAGGCATATACACTATTGAAGCGAAAGGAAAGATTCGGACGTAGCTACAAAAGAAGTGACATGGAACATTCACATAGAGCTCGAAAACTAGATGGTACAGTTTACCATCATTGACACCCAATGGAGGACGAAACTCAACACTTAGTTGCTTAAAGGGCAATGATACAAGTAAACACCGTCTATCCGAGGGAAACAACATGGAGGCAGCTATTGCCAATGCGAGAGTGAAGACCCGGATCTTCACCTCACCAGTAACAAAAGGAGCAAGTAGAGCAAATGGCATGGAGTATCTACTCGAAAACAAAAGATCAGGTGTACAATTTGTCATCCTTATTTCCCAACTGAGCATGCAACCCAACACTCAGCTACTCCAAAGAGCAAGGATACGGGCAAACCCATCTACCTGAAGGAAGCAGTGTAAAAGCACTTGGATAAAGAAGCAAAGAGAAGACCTGGACGAAATGTCTATGTCTTTACTTGTCTTTGGAAAAATAACATTTAGTCATCCAATGGACATATAAAGAAGGGAAGTTGTAGACACCCAATTTCATCTGGTACCCAAACCAAGAACAAAGGTCTACTAGAGCGAGACAAATAATCCTTGAGGGGCCCAACACGTTGGGCAGCATTTTTGTTATGATAATATCTCTCATTACAAACCTAATTTTGCGATCCGACCCTTGAAGTTAAAGAGCAATGTATTTAGAATATATCATCAAAATTTCAACATGATCCAACGGTTAACAAATTCTCTAGAAGCCTCACAAACACTAATATGGGGCATGGAACAGCCGTTCCCAAATTGGAACAGGCCATTCCCAATGTTGGAATAACCCCTTTCGAAACTAGAATAGCTTGTTCCCCTTTCTAGAAAATTTTGCATTGGGCAGCACTTTTGTTCTAATAATATCTCTTGTTAAAGATCTACTTTTCACGATTCGACTGTTAAAGTTAAAGATCAATGTATTGAGAAGATATCATCAACTTTTTAGCATGATCTAAAGGTTAATTACTTTTCTAGGGGCCTCACCTTGCAGCTGGAAAATAGGAGTTCTATACCAGACAACGTGTTTGTTATGATAGTATCTCTCACTACACATCTAATTTCAACAATCCAACCGTTGAAATTGAAGATCAATATATTGTAAGTTTACCATAAAATAACTAACACCATCCAACGGTTAATGAGCTCTCTAGAGGTACTGTATGATGTCTAGAAAAAGATTATATTTTTATAAAATTTAGTCCCACATCGGATAGCTCTCTTATGCTTATGCCTCCTAGTTGGCTATATTTAGTCCCCCCCTCTCTATAAATCTTAGTGATAGTAAGGATTTTGTAGAACGAAGGACTGCCAAAATACGTCTCACATGCATTTGAGAAGATTCCCTTATAAAAGGCTTGCTTTAGAGGTTTTAAATTCTTCTCTCTTATTTATTGTTTTTATTCATTTTATTTATTATTTAATTTATTTTTTATTTTTTATTTTATTTATTTCTTTATTTATTATTTTATTTATTTTATTTATAATTCTTATATGTCAATAAATAATTATGTAGATAATAAGTATTTTTCATTATTTAAATAATATTAAATAAAATGGGATAAGATATTTAAAATATTATTTATTATTATGCTAATATCATCATAGGGTACCAATTTAGGACGGTGTAAGGTGCCTAACACCTTGGCTACACGTAACCGACTCCTGAACCCTATTTTGGCTATGAAGACCTTTATTTTAGTTTCAAAATATTTTCTTTTTATGATATTTTGAATAAAATATCGATGGCGACTCTTTCGAGTTTAAAAAAAAAACGTTAGTTAGGGATTAGTCTAGTGTCTAAGCATTCCCGAACCAATGAGATTTTCAAAATTGAAATACAAACCATCTATAAGTAAAATCAGAATTTTTTGGTTTCCGACAATAGTCTCTACTAATAAACCGGGAATCATCATTGGTATAAATTTTTAGTTATTCATTATAAAAGTCAACAAACTTATCATAAATGATTTGTGATTGGATAATAATTTAAATTAGGCAACCTATTTTGAAATAATAGATTTTTTACAAACCAAACTAAATTAAATTAATTTTAAATTAGTTTAACTAAATTAAATTAACTTAACTAGTATTAGTATATTTTATTTTCCACACAGTAGTTAGTATAGTTTTTTTAGTTATATAGTAATTAAATCACTATAATTAGAGCGAGAACTAGAAATCTAAGATAGTGATTCAATACAATCTCTTATTTTTAATTATCTTGTAATCATAAATGAAATGCTAAAGTGTGGTATTTAATTTTAATCCAGAATTAATATTTAATGTAATGGACAAGTCATGGATTATGAAGCCACAAAACTCTGTTGAATATGAGCAAGGGGTTAGGGGATTTATTGATTTTGCCCTTGAACATAATGCAGTTAGTGACAAACTAATATTCCCTTGTAAACGATGTGGTTTCAAAAAGTGGTAATGTAGGGGTGTGGTGTATATGATCACTTGATATGTACACCATTTCCAAAAGGATATACTTTTTGGGTCCATCATGCGGAGTTAAGAACAAGAAAAACTAGTAATAGCTCTCATAATAGAATGCCAAATGAAGTTCAAGATAATGTTGTTGAAGATCCTATTCAAAACATGATCAATGATGCTTTTGGTGTTGATATGAACCATGCACCTAAAGCACCTATTGCATCAAATTTAGATGTTCACTTCGATGAAGATGTGCTACTAAACGCAACTCAAGAAAATCATGAAGCTAGAGAGTACTATGAATTAGCTAGAGATGGAGAACAACCTTTGTATGAAGGGTGTCAAAATATTCAAGGTTGTCTTTTTTGGGGAAGTTGTATCACATCAAATTCTTGTGTTGGATTAGTGCCAAGGCCATGACCATGATTTTAGAACTATTGAATGATGCATTTGAAAATGTAAAGATACCAAGTTCATTTTATGAGGCCAAGAAAACAATCACCAAGCTTGATTTAAACTATGAAAAGATAAATGTTTGTCCGAATAATTGTATGTTATATTGGGGTAATAGGGAAGATGCAGAGAGGGAGACATGCCAAACTGGTCACACTTCCAGATGGAAATCAAGGGAAAAAGTTGGTATGACTGAGGTGACTAATGAAGACAAAAAATTTAACAAAATACCTGCAAAATTTCTTTGGTATTTTTTGCTAAAACCTTGGTTGTAAAGGATATTTTTGTCATAAAAAACAACAAAGGATATGATATGGCATGCTATTGATAATAACAATGATGGGATGTTAAGGCATCCTAAAGATTTTAAAGCTTGGAAGCAGTTTAATTTGACACACAAAGTTTACATCAAATCCAAGAAATGTGCGTCTTGCGCTAACTACTGGTGGTTTTAATCTTTTTGGTCTTATGAGTCCAAATTATAGCATATGGCCTATTATTCTCATTCCATACAACATCCCTCCATGGTTGTGCATGAAGCTGAAATCTTTTATAATGTCAATGATCATGCTTGGTAAAAAATGCTAGGAAATGATATAGATGTCTACTTAAACCCTTTAATTAAATAGTTGAATGAGTTGTGGATAACAGGTGTGGAAGCCTATGATTCCTTCAAGAAAGAGATGTTTAAATTGCGTGTAGTTTTGATGTGGACAATTAGTGATTTCCCTAGGTTAGGAACACTTACACTGGACTTGCTTGCCCATCTTGTAACTTTCACTTTGTTCTCTTTCATCTCAAAGATAGTGGCAAATTTTTCTTTTGGGGATTTCGTTGTTATCTTGATCAAAGACATAGATTTAGGTTGTGCAGGATACATTTTAATGGTGAGCAAGATATGTGTAATCCACCAAAAAGGTTAAGTGGTGTTTAAATACTTCAACTAGTTTAAAATGTTAAAGTTGTACTTGGTAGAAGAAAAAAAACAAAAGAGAGAGAAGATTCAAGAGAAAGAAGACGGGGTGAACAACTTACACAAATTAGACCCACTAAACAATGGCATAAGAAGAGCATATTTTTTTGATTTAATATATTGGAAACAAAATTGTTTACGTCATTGTCTTTATGTAATGCATATAGAGAAGAATGTATGTGATAATATTATAAATACTTTGTTGAATGTTCCCAAAAGGAGTAAAAACCCTGTTGATGCTCAAAAAGATCTTAAAGTTTTGGGAATAAGACCTGACCTCTGGCCTGATGAAAATGGAAGATACTCTCAAGCTATCTTTACTTTGTCTAATAAAGGTAAAAGGGCATTTTTTAACAACTTTAAAGAATATTAGAGTAAACATTTCTAGGTGCATTAACTTGGAATCTATAAGATTCAGTGGAATGTTGAAGAGCCATGATTGTCATATATTGATGGAACAATTGCTACCATTAGCCAAGTTGTCATCATTGCTATAGAAAAGGTTTCAAAAATACTTGTTATACTCATTTAAATGAATAAAAAATTATTAAATATTTTAGTAATATTATTAAATTATTACTTATCCTATAAAACCTCAAGTGCTTAGAGATCATACAAAAAAGTTTAGTTATTACTGCTTCATATAATTATACATCACATTTATCAAAATTTTACAAACTATTTACAAAAGAATGAGGTTTATTAGGTTTTTTATTTTACAATTCCCCTCCATATTCTACAATATTAATACAATAACAGTTATTATATATTATATAAGGTGTTAACATGATTTGTCGGGGGTAGAGTAAAAGCAATAGTTATAGGTCCATCTAAAAAGATTGGGGTATCCTTATTTGGTAGCATAATTGTTGATGATCCTTGTCCATGGAAAATGACAATATTATTTTGTGTGTCAATCGCCTATTGCATGCCAGGAAAAATTGCATGTACCAAAGCAATAAATGATCCAACATGAGGTGAATCCATCTATATATCAAACCAACATCAACACAAAATGCATACAACAAACAAGAGGTTAGGCCAACTTTACTACCCAACAATTATCTCACACCCTAGAGCAATTATTCAGTACTCCTCTCTTACCTTGATGAATGTTTAATGGACGTGAATTTGTAAGGTGATCTTCCATAAAATCTTGTTCTCCTTCCCGTTCTTTAGAGCATACACACCAAAGTAAAAAAAAAAAAAGCATAAATCACAAATTGATGTAACCCTCTTTTAAAAACTTAACTCCTCATTAACTCAATAATTAAATCATTTTAACCCCAATTACAAACCCTTTCCAAATTATTTATAACCAACATTAAATATATAAATATTTTAGATTTTCGTTACAATAAAATTTGAATTATTTTAGTAGTGACTAGTTAGGATAAATGAGTGTCATCATAATATCAAT